TCATCATCAACGCTTCTCTGGCTCCTGGTATAGTCCCCACCAGCTTCAAACTGGCCTCAGTCACCCCCATACTCAAAAAACCTGGCCTGGACCCCGATGACCTCCAGAACCACCGGCCGATCTCCAACCTTCCCTTCCTCAGCAAAACTCTGGAAAGAGTGGTCGCCGGCCAACTCCATCAGTACCTGTCCAACAATGATCTCTATGAGCCCTTCCAATCCGGCTTCAGACAGCAACACAGCACTGAGACCGCCCTCATCAAGATCACCAACGATCTCCTCATTGCTGCTGACTCTGGCCGCCTCAGCATCCTCATCTTCCTGGGCCTCTCTGCAGCATTTGACACCATCTCTCACAACATCCTCCTCACCCGCCTCTCAGACCTCCTAGGTGTCACTGGCACAGCGCTGTCCTGGTTGACATCCTACCTCCACAACAGGAAACAGTTTGTCTCCATCAGTGGCTCAAACTCAGCCCCGGCCCCAGTCCACCACGGTGTACCCCAGGGCTCTGTGCTTGGCCCCCTCCTGTTCACCATTTACATGCTCCCCCTCGGCCAGATCATCCGACATCATGGACTCAACTTCCACTGCTACGCTGATGATACCCAATTGTATCTCAGCACCACTCCATCCTCCCAGCTCCCCCCTCAGTCTCTCATCAACTGCCTGCATGACATCAAAGCATGGATGTCATGCAACTATCTGAAACTAAACAGCATGAAAACAGAGCTCATGGTTGTGGCACCCAAGGCCCTGCTCCAGAAGGTTGGTGACTTCGTCCTTGAGGTTGACGGCTGCTCCATCTCCCCATCTCCTGAAGCCCGCAACCTGGGTGTCATCCTCGACTCCACCCTTTCCTTCCATTCCCACGTCAAATCTGTGACCAAATCGGCCTTTTATCACCTGAGGAACATTGCCAGACTCCGACCGTCACTCTCGGAGTCGGTTGCCGAAACCCTAGTCCATGCATTTGTCACCACCCGCTTGGACTACTGCAATGGTGTCCTGTTCGGGGTTCCCAACAAAACCCTGGACAGGCTCCAGTATGTCCAAAACTGTGCTGCTAGGGTACTCACGCACACAAAACCGTGGCAGCACATCACTCCCACCCTCATCCACCTACACTGGTTGCCGGTCAAGTCCCGCATATCCTACAAAATCCTCCTCCTTACCTACAAATCCCTCCATGCCCTTGCCCCCCAGTACCTATCGGACATCCTTCACCCACATGCCCCACCCCGGAACCTGCGGTCCTCAGACTCTGGCCTGCTTACCACCCCCCGCACCAAACTGCGAACCTACGGGGACAGAGCCTTCAGTGTGGCAGCCCCCACCCTCTGGAACGTTCTCCCTGCGGAGATACGCAACATCCCCACACTTGAAGCCTTCAAAAGGGCCCTCAAGTCCCATCTGTTTGCCAAGGCTTTCGGCCCCTAAATCGATCTGTTGTTCTGTTTGTCTGTCTTTTGTTTTGTTATGTTTGTCTTCACTTACTTGTGAAGCGACCTTGGGTCCCCTGAAAGGCGCTATAGAAATCGAAGCTATTATTATTATTATTATTAGAGCACAGACCTCTTTATGATTGTGTGTGAATGGGTTTATGGGGTCGGAAAGACTGCCAGTTATCTATAGGGCGACTGCAGCTGAGGAGGCAATTGATCGTCTTCCAATTGTAGGGTCAGTGGTTCAATCCCTCAACCCTGTAGCCAAAGTGTTGAAGTGTCCTCTTGTCATGATACTGGTGTTATTTAGTTTCCTGTTTTATTTTTAAATGCATTTTGTCTTTGTGTCTAGTCTTGTTTTGTATTACTTCCTGCCTCTGTTTTTCCTGCCTGTTTGATTGTCTGATTCTTTTCACCTGTGATATGCCCTCCCCACACCGAAGAAACTGAAGGATTGGCGTTAATAAAATGTATTTTGTCAACAAATGTTCACATAACAAAGCATAATACTACTTAATAGTCAAATCAAATCAAATCAAATCAAACGTAATAGTATTGCTTTCCACTAACCTAATACTGTATGTGAAATCTGTTGACATTATACATTTATAAATGAAGTCAACGTTTCAGTTTTCAGTGCAGCTGTGCCTCTGATAAGTGATTATTCCTGTGTCGGTTGGTTGTCAATGTTTCCCTTTTTTTGTTCTAATTTCCGTGGATCTTTATATTCCCCAATCTTCCCAGTTTGTTCCTCATTTTGACTTCCTGTTTTCTGTTATGCTTTATCTTACCTGCTTCACTTATTGTCATGTATTTTGTATCTATACTGTATATGAATAATGCTCGCTTTTTTCTTATTTAAACCTGCCTCCCTGTTTTATACTGCTTTGGGTTCTGCCATCCTTACCCACCCCATGACCCCTAGGGCAAGATACTAGACCCCAAATTACTCCTGATAGCATGGCTTAACGTGTAGATTTAAGTAGTTTTGATAAAAGAGTCATCTAAATGAATACTCTTTAAAGATCTTTGCATTTTAAATGAGCCTTGGTTCGATGAATTGATGAATTTCACTGGAACTTCTGTTATTTTTGTGGTTCTTATAGCAGACTACAACAAAACAGTTTAGAAAAATGGCTATGTATTGAAACACCATGGTACTGATACTTTATATTGCCATTAAAGGTCCATTAATGTATGAGTACATCAGCAAACTTGACATCATAAATAAAAAGACTAAAAGCTAGAGACAGACAAGAGACTGACAGACGATTTGTTCTGGCCCTGCCTTATCAGATCTACACTACAGTACAGCGGTCAGGGCAGTGCACGGTCATTAAGTTGCCTATAATGAGAAGGGCTTAAAGGACGTGATGGCTATTGCCCCCGACAACCACCTCCCGCACCGATGGATGAGACGGATAACTGACACCAGACCTATATACGCAGAGAGAGACGGACTGGCATGGCGATCATGCCTGCTCAATCGTATCAGATCTTCAGTACGAGATGATGCCGTGGTGAGCACTGTCTGACAGATCCTCCCTCCACCACTTCTGACATGTCAGAGACAATGATGGGGAGGAAGAGAAAGGGAGAGATGATGATGATGTATGAGAGCAATAATTGACATGACTGAGAGATTATGTTTGATGAAGAGAGAGGGGAGAAGAGAGGGGATCAGGGGGGTGCGATGTGAGAATGATACGATTAAGGTCCCCAGAAAATAAAAGACTGTGTTTGACTGTGATGATCTTCATGCCTAAAATAGTGATACATTAGTCAAAGGAGCCTTATTATGCTTTCTGGGTTTTCCCTTTCCTGTAATGTGCTCTATAGGTTTTAGTGCATGTAAATGGTCTGCAAAGGCTCAAATCCCTGTGTTCCCTCCAGAGGTACTTTCTCTCCCAAACACTCCCCCCGTGCCTGAAACGCCTCCATTGGACTCCTTTGTTAACTTTCTTAACATAGTGACATCACTACTTAACAAGCATGCTTCTATTGGCTGATGCTCCAACAAATTGGCACAATAAGGCCCCTATCTGCCAACAGGGAGAATCATAGGTATTTAGTGAGTTTAACCTTTCTTTATTTGACTAAACTTTCAATAAAAGTAGGCCGGTGAGTCAAACACAGAGTTTGTTTAAAGTAAATCTGTGTCTCAGAGGAAGTTCTCACTCACAGCTCTGCTGTTGGCAACATGTCAGTGCATTATTACACTGACCTAGACCTATTCTGGCTGAGTGCATTCACAGTTGATTTCCTGACACCATTATCTGACCAGAGTAACAGTTACATCTACACAAAAAAGCCAGACAAAAAAACTGACACCAAATATGTTGATCAGATCTAGACCATTTCCCATCTAAATCATACCCTCAAGACAGTGATGACATTACTCGACTTTAACAACATATTCAACATTGTGGCAAATTGTACACTTCTCTAACTGGCCTTTATCATACTGTGCATGTGAATTTAAATGCCGCTTTGGAAGAAGAGTTTCCCTTAAACGCTCAGGTCAGAAAGTGTGACAACCATGAGTGTGAGTTTGGAGAGAGTGGGTGACAACAGTGAGAGACAGAGCAAAAGGGCAGGAGTGTGTGAGAGATGGAAATGGGTAGACGGGCGGGTAGACGGGCGACTGATTGCCATTTGGCGCCCGACAGGCGGAGAGAGAGACCCAGCTGGGGTCGTGTCACGATCTGTCTACCGAGTTATATCAGTCCACCAACTCAGAGTGACAGAAGGAGATATAAGGAAAAGTTAACATATTAACCTTTTCTACTAATGTATTCAAAACGTTTTAGCATACTACAGCGAGTAATGTTTGCAACTTTAACAATAACAAGATAGAAAATGTGAGTGAAGGAATACCTACATTTGTTTAAGAATAAGAACTACATAAAAATATGCATTACTATAAACCTGCAAAATCCAATTGAATTGGTAACTTGAATTGGTCTGGAACACACCATAACATTTAAAACCTGCAATTACAAGACATCCACCAAAAATTTACAATTTCCAACAGCATCGAACATTTTTGTGGTTTCTATGTATGTACTAGAAATTAATAAACTCAAATATGGTTGGTAGACCGTCCCAAAGTCACGCAGGATTATGAATTTGAGCATTTTAAAGAAGTATCAGTTATAATCTGCCCTTCCAACTGATGCAGCAATTTGCACATGAAAAACTGTGTAGGACTCCAAAATTGGATGTCAATTATGTTTTACCATTATGATGTCCTGAATAATGTCTTGAGAAAAAATTCTACTTGTAAGTGAAAAATGTGGGAAGTGATTTGATCAGAAGGAAAATATACCCATGCAGCTTAACTGTATTTGAAAACTGTCAAGACCAACTGGCCTCTCGTGTCAAAATCATATCTATAGCTAGCCTAATGTGTGTGTCCCTACCTTAACACATACAGTAGGTCATTACAACGTTTGCTGGATTCCATAAAAGGGGGGTTAGGGTTAGGGTTAGGGTTAGGGTTAGGGTTAGGACAGAGCTTGAACAGAAACACAAAAAGACAAGTGTAGGCTGGTACCAGTAGGCAGGGCAGGGTCTATGGTGGGTTTCTCCCAGGAGTTGACTTGTTCCCAGGTGAATCCATTGGTTCCGAGGGAAACGCTGTACCCACAGCTGCTGTATGACTCCTCAAACGTACAGCCACCTGAAAAGCAGAAGAGAAATATGCCTACATTAACAGATGCCATTTTTCTACTGAGCAAGCAGTTTTTGGTCTATATTGTTGTACAAGGACAATGCAAGTGTGGATGAACCTCAGACTTTTCAATGACATGTCGAATAACAGCCATCCACTCAACTTGGAATATGTATCTGGACTGAATCATACCAAGACATCTCCTAAAATGAAGCTGGTATAAAAAATAGAAATGCATCGACCGCTGGGTAAGCGACAAGCCATCGAGCAACTAAATGAAACATCGGTTGAAAGGATGAATTGTGTCATATTGCTACAACTAAAAAGACAGTTGACAACAAAACTTCCTCTTTCAAATACCAACCTTTTTTAGCATGTGGATAAGCCATCTGGATTCAATAAAGCAATGGCAAGCAGTGCCAATTAAAAAAGCTGCACAGGAAATACAAATGACTGATAGCAAACACTGAATGGCTGATTCAGTCCATTAAACAATAACAAAATGGGCTTTGATATAATGCAAGTCTATCCAACGCGTTGGTACTACCCATATTTGTGATTATGTTCTTTGTTTTCAAACCACATCTTTGATCACATTAATGAGCTCTGAATTTCGATGAAATGTTGAAAACAGAGCCTTTCTAAGCTGCTCGGGTATTGTTAACACTTTTATAATTGGTAATTAAGTTATCAGCATGAAATGAAAGAGCCGGTGCATAACTGACAGGGGCTGTTTATCAGAAAGAGAGCAGAGGGGAAGAGAGGAAGAGAGGAGGAGAGGAAGAGTGATAGTGAGACAGAGTGTGCCTTTACATGAGAGGGAGTGATGGGTAGATGAGAGAAAGCTTTATGTGTCAACATGATTAAGTCACAGAGTCATGTCGTTATTTCATGGCCCGGATAAGACACATTTTCCACCACATTAACCTTCTCCGCTGGCCTGGAGCTCACATCCACATACATAGCTGCGCTTCCCTAATTAGACATGCTTTGACACACAACTTATTTAATTCGTTTTGAAGCATTGAAACGGCCAAACGTCATTGCTTTATTCATTAATTCACCACTTAATGTTGATCATATTTCCTTATTTTTATCTGCCTCTTTGCTGCTCCCCAGAGTGCATTTGTCTCTTTAAACCTCATTAAAACAATAGAAAGATTTTTTTTTCTTCAAAATGTAAGCTGCGACATACAGAATTAACAAAGAGGCATTTAGTGAACATAAGGGTCTATGCAATACTTGAAACGTAGCAGTAGTGATCATCATTTGGGCAAAGAATGTTATTGTCGAGAGTGATACATCTTAACTATTGGATTGATTTCCAATACACTATACAAGATTCATGGTTCCCAGATGAGGAATTCTAATACCATGAATTATCTTACCATTTTTTGATTTAGCTGAAATGCTCAGAATTATTGAAGTAAATGTGCAGAATTTGTCTAATTATAAATGCTAGCATGCTAAACTGGTGAGCATTTCTCTAAACGTCTTCTTTCTACATTGCCATTGCCAGCATGTAGGCATGCTAGCATTAGCATTTAGCTCAAATCCCACTGGGCCTAAGTACAGACGCACTAAGCCGTCTATAAGTATGTTTTTTTTTCGTACATTTTAAATGTAGCAAATTTGTCCTAACAATTCAGGTTCTTAAATATAAGAGGTGTAACATTGTAGAACACATATTGTAAGACTTAATGGGGCCCTATTATTCTTTTAGGGCAGTGTTTCTCAAACTTTTTCATACCAAGGACCACTTAACCAATAAAAAAACACTCGCGGACCACCTAACTCCACAAATATCCAAAAACACATCGTTTTTTACAAATCGCCTGAAAATTGTACAAACAAGTGGCAACATGTGTGATAAAGGTGTTTATCTGGGTTATATCATGCAATCGAAAGTTAAACTTAAGCTCGCTCCATTGCGGAGATATTCCCGCGAGAGTGCGGAAAACTTTAATTAATTAATTAATAAAAAATGTGAAATTTTACCAATATACTCACGGTGTGGGGGGCGCTCACGGACCACTGGTGGTCCGTGAGCGCCCCCCACACTTTGAGAAACACTGTTTTACGGGTTTTCCCTTTCATGTAGTGTGTTCGGTTTGTGTGCATGTAAATGGTCTGCAAAGGCTCAAATCCCTGTGTTCCTTCCAGAGGGAGTTTCTCTCCCACACACCCCCCCCCCCACCTGAAACGCCTCCATTGGACTCCTCAGTTTTCTTCAGTAACATAGTGACATCACTATGTAACACTCACACTTCTATTGTCTAGCACTCAAACACATATAGGCTAGGGGGAGAGACATCTCTGATGCAGTGGCCCAATCACAAAAGAGCCGATCAGCTAACCAATCAGAGCAGACTGGGCTCTGGTTTCAGACAGAGGGTGAAAAGAAGTTCTGCAGCACAGGCAGTGTGATACAAATAAAGAGCTTTCTGAACATTAAAGCATGGAGACATGTCACAGGAGAGACACTACATATAAATATGAAACATGGACATTAGCATAATAGGTCCTCATATTCCCAGGTGCACTGTCCAGACTGTGGAATACACACATAGCCTACACCCTAAAATCTGAAATAAAAATGTGTGGTATCGTTTTGATTATGCCTCCTTAAGCAAGACTTACATCAACTGGGAAATCAAATTCAAAAGAAATCCCTATCTGAAGTCTGTTTGAAAAACAACCTCCAGCAGTGCGAAACTGGGAAAAACACAGTTTTTCTTAAAGATATGAAAATAGCTTTTATAAATTAATCAATACTGAGATAATTAGCCTTTATCGCCCCCTCATTGTTGGGTGATCTCATTAGAAATGGAAGGAAATCAAAGTGATCTCATTAAAACAGAGTTATTAACAGCAAGGTGGGGGTGGGAGGGGGCTGTGGGGGATCTCGCATCAATATTCAATATCAGATCTGCAATTTGAAGACCAATATCAAGGGATGAGAGAGAAGTAGCTCACAGCGATAGACTAGACTGGGTGTGTGTGTGTGTGTGTGTGTGTGTGTGTGTGTGTGTGTGTGTGTGTGTGTGTGTGTGTGTGTGTGTGTGTGTGTGTGTGTGTGTGTGTGTGTGTGTGTCAATGCCCCTGATCTAGTTTGCAAATCAGTGCAACACCTCCCTGCCCCACGCCTCATTGACAGAAACACACAAACATAATCACACGCAAATGCCGCGTGTCGGAACATTTGCATAATGAAAATGAAACACTGGTCTGATTGTGGGTATGAGCTAACACACATGACCACCGCACAGTGAACTGAATGTGGTGCATACTGAAGGTGTTTGGGCTGTGAGGGTGTGCGCATAAATGTTTGTTAATGTCTATGTACGCACATGCCACCAATACACGCAGAATCCCTTCATCTCTGCTAATTACCATTCCTGTAACCAATATAATCAAATATGAATGTGATGACTACAGCATGCTAATAGGCACACGCACATGCAGTGAGAGAACAACCAGTCAATATTGATTTAAAAGTGAACTAAAAAGTTTAAACATGTCCCTCGTTGTTTACACAGAAAGTTATTTTGGCTACATTTATTCTGTCTTTTATTGTCAACATTGCATCCAACCATAAACCGCTGCAAATATTTCCTTTAAATCTGTTTTTTCTTTTGTCATGGCAACTTTTGAAATGTGTTTCAGCTTTTGCTTATTATATGTATACATCTAAAAGAGACAATATACGCCAGAGATACGAAAGCAACAATCATTTGATCTTTTGTCAACATAAAAAAGTTTAAAGAGGCCCTATTATGCTTTTTGTTTTTTTTACATAGGTTTGTGTGCATGTAAATGGTCTGCAAAGGCTAACATCCCTGTGTTCCCTCCAGAGGGAGTTTCTCTCCGGGTCAGGGGGAAAAGAGGTGCTGCAGCACAGGCAGTATGAGAAAAATAAAGAGCTTTTTGAACATTAAAGCATGGAGACATGTCCCAGTAGAGGCACTACTCATTTGAACCTGAAAATGAGCATAGGGCATATCTAACCACAATGGCAGAAGGTCAAAAAGCGAACTATCTTTGCCGAGTAGGTTATTTCTTTTGCTTTGTTTGTCCTGTAGGATTACATCGTAATTACTGACACTTTTGTGTGGTCGTTCAAATAACTCGTGACTTTTGTCGTTTTCCATGGTTTTGCCAATGTACCTAAATGGGAATTGCTTATTGAGTAGCATTTGGCAAGGTAAACAAAAACGCATTTTCCTCATTAAAGAGCCTCGCATAAACACAAACATTGAATCTAATTATTTCACAAGGCTTTGAATGGCTAGGATGAACCTCGCACCTTGTTATCTGTTCTTGACAAACAGAGTAATTAAACAAAAACAAATTCACGTCAGCAGTGAGAGAAACGAGTGGAAATCTGAGTGTTGATGGTTCACAGCTAATTAAACATTTAATCTATGCAAGAGCTCGTTTAACATTTGTATTTAAATAACTGCAGCTTTGTAAAGCAACCAGCCGCAGAGAAAGCCTTTCCAGACATTTGATCAGTTTCTAATTGAGTCATTCCAAGTCTCAAATAATTAGTCTGGATGATCATGGATTTCATCCTAATTCTCAATTAAAAAAATGTTTCAGGCATTTTTGGCAAATGACAATGTACCAAAGCTTTATAAGAAAAACCAGACACATATTAAAAAGGAGTACATTAATAGGTAAATATATGAAATTCATGTCCATTCCAAGTGATGCATTTTAAGTGATGGTTTATTTTTTTCAATTCATCTCAAACAGGAGATTCTAAATGTTGGTATCGATGTGTGAGTGTTTGTGTATCTGTTGTTTTTTGTAAGTTGGGGCATTTATAGCATTTGATTCTTTAAGAGAATACCTAAAATATTTATTTTGAGAAAATTGAGTGAAGTTAAATGTAAAATGATGAGTGGTTAAAGCTATTTATCTCATTTTAATTAGAAAATTGACATATTTGTTTGAATCAGTGATGTCATACTCTACCTGTAGTGAGCAAGGCTGAATAGACAGCC